ACAATTCTGAAGTTGTTTAATTCACTCTCTGCCTTGCAAATTGTGACACATAAATGAAATGAATGATAATCGAGTGCTAAAGAGGGTTCCTGCATCCGTCAAACTAATTGTTCAGCTCTGCTTTGTTTTGACGCTCTAATGAACTTCTTCAGGGTTATGTTATGAATGCGGTGCTCAAATGTCCTCGATTTTTCGGAATCAAATATGGCAACGGCCATTTAACCACTTCCGTCTCAACGACTAATGAAAGCCAACATTAAACAGAAAAATCTGTTTGGTGAAGATTCCACTGACGCATTGGCGAGGCGACTGAGTCTAGACAGTGCTAGGAAATCCAGCCTAAACCTGGCCTATTCGCATTGTGAATTGTCGTATTGGTATGCCAAATATCATATGTCAAATTTGAGTTCTTGCTCGTGCCACGTACGCTGTCAAGTTTCTTATGACTATTAGAAAAATAGTTATAGTTTACCCAAAAAATTGGTAGACAATGACTTTGTTTCCTGTTTGGTCAAGAAATAGGCCATTTTAGAAATTCTGACCAAATTCTGACGGCTAACGCCGAACTGAAAGAACAGCAATAGTTTAGAAAGAAAGAACGTCGCAAAGAGTGAAGAGCAACCGATGCTCCTGTAAGCTACCAACAAGATAAGTTCCAGCAGTTTCCAGCTGAATTCGGACAAAGCTTGGTCAAAGCACCGGAAAAGCTTCTGCAGTGCTATGGTTTTCCAGGCGCCTTCCATCTGCAGCACGTTCTCCTGTTTGAACAGAATGTACAAATCGTCTACGACTTTGCAGAGGTCGCATTCTAAAGCATCACTTGTTCGGAACAGTCCCAACGCAAAAACGATCGCGAAATACCTTGAGCATTTGAAGCATGTTTCAGAAAGTATAACTTCTTCAAGCTCTTCGTAAAGTTTTTTGGTGTCGCCGTACCATGACTGTCCTCTGAAGTTTCTGAGGAGCCTAGAACGCGTTTACTAAGCAAGAATTATCAAATTATTATTAATTATTTCGTTTAGAAATCGAATATTTCTAATTATATTCAATCCGAAGGCACTGTGAAGCGGTATATAAATTTGAGGCATTTTGGTCCAAAAATTTTGCCAGTCTTGCGTAGACGTTTATCCTCACAAGTTTTATTCAATATGACTGGCAATAGTAAATATACTTGAGAAAGGGCTATGGCTCTTATTTGTCTCAGCTTTCACTACTGGTGGCTGGAAATGATCAGTCGAATTAGATAACTTCCCAGAGGACCTCTAGTTTCAAGCAGTTTCTCATATTGGAATATTCCCAATCTTTTAAAAGTGCTCCCTGCCATTTTTGTTCTTCTCTGATGCTCCTGAGTTCTCCGCTCTAGTTCTTCTGGTGACATCATCTGCAAGCTACAGATTCAGTAATGCCTGTTTGTCGTCTGCTTTTTCCGATGCCGTTTTGGTGCAGTGGCGCAGGGACTAGAAGGTGCCAAATTCGAATTCCCTCAAGGGACAGTCTTTGTCTTAGCCGTAAATTTTCTTGAGCAACGAATTAGCCACACGCCCGTTTGGCTTAATCGGTGACTTACGAATAATGGCGACATCTTGGAGCAGGTGTACGGCCATGCTGTACGATGCGACTTCATCTTGTGGCTGCAGTTTGCCTTAACCCATCTGACAGCTGACTATATAGTGTGATAATCAGTGCGAAATGTAACCCAGATTTTTTTCTTGCTTTTGAAAACCTCTTCAAGAGCTGTTGTAAATAACTTTGGTGATAATACATCACCCTATCAGGCATCTTTCTTGATTTTGAATTTTTCGTGTTTCCGCTTCATTTGACATATGCCATAACGTGCTCGCGAGTCATAAAGATAAAACCGTTGTGTACATCTTCATCCTCTAATTCCTCAGGTCTTATGACACAGACGAGGTGTAGACTGCGTTTAAAACATTGTCTAAAGAATCTCAGCTAGAAGGAAAGCTTATATTCATTCCGATATTTATCACTTGCTGCACCACGTGAAGAAAGTAGGCGTTTCGGTAAGAACTTAGCTGATGCAGCTTTGCTAGCATAATAACAAACCTGCTGATCCGGATACTCGACTGGCATACCCGCTTTCCATTGCAAAATCTGTCCTTTCCGAACAGCAGTTCTTGGAACACCCTTCAATGAAAGTGTCATTAAACGCTCATGCGAAACAGGTGTTGCTTCTTGTGGCCTTACTTGACAGCAGGTCCCAGTCGTCCTCTAGCTTCGGCAGGAATCTCATGGTGGACTGGTTTTGAGCGTCTTTTGCTTCTGCTTCATCATCCGCCGTCGAACAATGGCGTTGAGCGACTGATGGCTTCTGAAGCACCTCTTTATGCGTAATAATTTATGGTTTTCATTTAGATTAAATAATGAATAGATCTTTGCACGAATAGCTTGCATTTTTTTAATGGTTATTTCATTTTCGGGACATATAATAAGAGTCTGAATGAAAGATTATGCTGAATATGACGTGTGCCATGTGAAAATATTGAGGCATATTTGAAAGTAAGGTTTGTACTTATCGAAAAAACGCATGAGCTCAAACATGACAGACGACATTGTATTTAGGCAAATCACAAACTGGAAAACACTACATAAATTTTAATCCGCACAACCGGCAGCGTCAATCGCAATCATTGCTCAGATGTCAGTGACTTATGGAGTGAAAATCTCAAACGGTGACTTAAGATTAAAAAGAAGCGCCGCAGCGTTAACCACACAAGTCAACCTGACCCCCATGAAAATGACGCCATGCGAAACGTTTTATTCCGTATTACGCATCGAATCACAGTCCACAAGTGGTGGTGCTCTTTGGGATCTTTTATTCGCCGTTCCCTTGGCGAAATCCATCACGGCAGTACCATCGCCTCATCATACTGTAACCGGTTCCTACACCACTCCCATCACCGTACGTAGCAGGGGACAATTTTTCTTTTCTTAATGTAATAGGTAATAATCTCAGAGCAAATCCACTCAGAACTTGGCCGGCGTAGTTTGTCTTTTCATTGCTCCCTGCTGCTTGACTTTTTTACTGCTTTGAATACAGGTTGCTTCTAGAATATTCTGTTCCAACGGACATGATCTTCCAAGCTATTTTTCTTCATGAGCTCATATGCTTATAGTCAGTCAGTTTCGATGACAGTTTATTCTTTTGGGTTGGGTCATGTGGACAGACACGTCAGACAGCACATCTAATGTTCCAGGTTCTATGCCAACATTATGGCCTTGGCAGAAGATAATCCAGGCAGTCGAGTGTGTCGAGACACTTGCCCAGGTCATTCTTGGCTGGCCTCTGAATGTTCCGCCAATCGGGCACTTAGTAGCTGTTTCGACCTCCTTTTCGGAATCATTATCAAGATGAGCCAAAACCATCGTAGCGGCGACTTCTCAATCGGAAGAAGGCTCCCTACCCTGAACCTTTCCCTGCATCTGTGCCGCGAATCATGTAGAGTAGCGTGAGTTCTGCGATTCATCTCAGAGACTCTTTTCAGTCAGAGTACACGACTCGTGACCGTGGGTGAGTCTACAATTGAGGATCGACTTGAACACCGAGATCTTAGTCTTCCGTTTCTGCCCTGCAATTGCTTAGCAACAATTGAGGCTAGTTCTCGCAGAGCCCCTTTGCCATTCCATTTCGCCAGTCATTTCCGTCTTCCCATTTTCCCTCACCAGTAAACGCGATCCTGGGTGTCGTGAAGTTCTCCATCTTTTCTTCTGCTTCTTACATTATCTTCGCAGCGCAGGAAGCGGGAGAGTGAGACGGCACTCGGATTTTGGTTTTAGTCATGTTCACACGCATGCCGACCACGCCCCACTCGGCAGATCAGTTTGAAAAGATGCCAACAAGACAAGGTCGTCTATAAACGGTAACCTTTTCGTCGTCACACTTTTTTCGCTGATACATTCATCGGACTGCACCTGACTATTCTAGCCATGTACAACGTAAAGAGAAGGGGGCAGAATATAGACTTGGCGGAGACCAGTGCCAACGCTGCAAGTCATATATATATATAGTGCTCACAGAAACTAGCCATCGATCCCTAGTGTTTGCAGTCACGGCAATAGCTTGTAGCGGGGGATCCGGTTGGAGGCTTTCTCCTGGTCAACAAAGCATATGTAAACCAGAGGAGCAAACTCCCACGATGCTTGATATGAGGCGAAAACTGGGTCAGAAGTGTTTCAACCTGATTTGATACGTACTGTTGTACCTGTAGTATCTTGATGTCGATTATTCTGCGGCACCTCCAACTCGCTTGCGTTCCAACTTGTTACCCGGAAGGTTCAATACAGGAAGCCACGATAATTGCTGCATTCATTATGGCCTTCTTCTCTGAACAGAAATGCTGGCGCCCAGTGTTCCAGTCCACATGTATCATTCTCGTAGCCATTACAGTTTGACAGACATATGCTTAAAGTCATAATAGCTGAGCTGAAAATATTTTAACTTGTTATCTGGAGCAGTTGAAAAAAGCAGCAAAAAGGCACCATACGAGAGCGTGGGTTTCCGAGAAGATGGGAAGTTTTGTTTCTTCTTCATGTAGGAAGTGGTTTCCTCAAACAAGCTAGTTTCTGTGCCTCAATTTTTGGCAAATTATTGGATAAGGTTGTTCCTCATTCATTATTCATCGAGGTAAACCTTTCATGCGCTGGAAATTTTGCTATCATTTTCTTACTTGCACTAACAACAGAAGGGTACAAAATGCCGTGAATTTACAGGGGGCAGTTCGAGTAGACAGATGCCAGTTGTTTACCGCCTTTTTGCAATTTTGTCTACTTTCTTGCTTCATAGAGCATGGCCTTCTAGTGGAATTCTGAAGGTCACTGAGCGCCTGGCAAATCTTGTGATACATGGGGTTCATAAAAATGCATAATCCTTGAATATCTTCAAGTTATATTAGCAATTATGAACGTTGTAATGATTATTATTTGCATGATGCAATGCTGGGTGATACTGATCTGTGACGACGACTATTTACTTTTATTTATATGAATCATATGATCAGTCATTGTAATACTGTTCTTAATATTACCAACGTTACCGCGTTAATAATACCATTTTTTCTTTTCGAAATTTAGAGAGGTACAACAAGTAATGGTAAGTAGGTAACAACAAAATAATCATGTTAATAGATAAATAATGCATTCATTCAAATTCATGCCTTCAAAACAATGTTGCAATTCTCCTCTTCGGCACTACTTTAAACCTGACAATGAGAGATTTTCCTAGGTGGTATCTCAATTCCAGTCAACTTCTCATCTCTTGGTACCTGCGGTTTATGCGAAAATTCAAAAAGTACCTCACAAGTGGACTACTGAGGTGCGCTTCACCAAAACCGACAACATGCTTAGGCATCGAATAAATACGTTGGTGAAGCGCATCGGTTTGTTGCGTGGAGTTGATGGCAACTGTTGTGACCCTGAGGATATCAAACGTGGACCATGGAAAAGCAAATTAACCCGCAGCTGGTCTGTAGACAAATAAGTTACTACCGATATTAAGGAACACCATGGAGCGACGCATAGTTGACCACTGCCCATTTTACTTGTCAGATTTACAACTGAGTGAATGATTGAATTAAAAGGTGAATGAACGAGTGAACCAATTGGTGAGTGAATGAACGATCGTAGAAAAGAACGATAATAAATTGAGGGATGATGGAATTGATGAACTTAACGGTGAATGAGCGAACGAAATTTGAACATATAAATGTATGAATCGACTAGACAGCGATGGAATGGACTAAATGCGAAACACATGGAGAAACAAATCAATGGTGAGCTGAGCGAATAGTGGCCTGTTTGACGAACGAAACGTTAAAAGGATCTTGTTTTCCTTGGCGATGACGGATGCGGTGAGAAGGCTAATTGAATTGATCTCAAGTAAAGCTTTTGGTTTGCCGCAGCTCGCGACATGTAGCGATTGTACCTTTGACTTATCGACTGCTACGGCGAGAAAGCGGCCAATGCGAGACTGCAGTAATTCTCTCCTTGAACGTACCGAAGAGGGACAAATCACTGACGAGGGAACCATTTCATTGTACCATTTTGGTACTCCTACTTGGTATGTAGATGATTTCATCCTGACACTGCCTGTGACAGGTGATATCTTCGAACTTTGAGATATCCATTTGAAGCTCATTAACGTGCCATCAATTTGTGAGTGTGTTCAGCGTGGTAGTTATCTGCAAAAATTTTCTGGAACTGGAAGTTCAGGTTTCTGTAAGAAACGCAATCGCCGCCGTGAACAGCTCGATGAGTCGAGATCTTATAGCCGCCTTAAGCAGTGTTTCTCGCACTGGTCGACAGACTTTGCGGAACGCGTCAATCTGTGATGTTCTTGCTCGTCAGATGATCCTTTTCGACATCGGAAATATGTTTACCATGACTGCAATGAACGTGCCATCAGGATGTCAGGGAAAAGATTCGCATGGTAATCAGCTGACGACGATTGTGGGCCGGCTTGAAAGCTCTGGATATTCAGGTTATCGTCTGCCAACACTTGGCGATAACACGGTAACGGTAACACTAGAGAAATTGTCTGATGCTGCTGCCTCCTAGATCACAGAGGATAAGCGGCACCTGGAACAGAAGCTGATATTTTTCGCCTGCGTTGGAGCGTAATGACTTCTTGCCCGGGAATCAAAATATCAGTGAAAAAACATGGAGCTGCTCTACCTACGACTGGGAAGTAAAGGCGGATTATGAAAATGAATCAAAGAAGCCTCTTTCATAATTAATTCGCCTGTTTGTATTGCTGGTTTAAACCGCTAATTTGACAATCCACTGAACTTGACCATTTGAATACCTTGTTCATCTTGGATCATGCTGAAATGAACGCTTCTGCTGCTTGCCTTAGTACCGACTGGTTTTGCAGTTACGGTCTATGCGGCTGGCGAGTTATGATCAATATGCAGGTATATTTGCATATTATGAAAGGTCCCTTTCATTTCTCTTGTCGAAGACCGCACATCGCCTAAATAACTAGCGTCTGCGATTGCTTGCTGACTATCACGGTTAGCAGCCATAATTTTAATGAGCTTCTGCAATCCCAGAAC